CACTGATGTTTGTACTTTTGTTTTTTTTTTTCTCCCCATGTTGTGTGTGTGTGTGTGTGTGTGTGTGTGTGTGTGTGTGTGTGTGTGTGTGTCTGCCACTGGAGCTGAAAGATGGACAGCAGCACCAGAGTTCCCTCTTTTCTGGAATCTGTGTGGGTGTGACGCTGGTCTCACACGGCTGCTTCATGCTGCTTTTTTTGTAATAATCTGCATGTGCTGCTGTGGTTGTGTAAGATAACTCTCGAGTTGTGTTTTTCAGATGCCTGCATGTTTATTTCATTGAGTCATGAAGGATTTTTTATTTTTTTTTCCTGCTTTGTTTTTGAACGAGCTGCAGCGGTTGCGCTTGCATATGTGCGGCCCAGATGTGAGCGCGTTATCCGGAGTAATAGTCTGATGTCAGTGTGCGTGTGATCAGCATGCATCATTTGGCACTGCGACAAAAAAAAATCTGTTTGTTCAAAGAATATTTTATCTGCGTGTGTTCTTCTGCGTCCGCGCATTCAGTTTCTCTTTGATTTACTTTTTTTGTAAAAATTCTCAGCGTGTAAAACGTGCAAGTGCACGTCGGTGTCATGTGCTTCCTTGTTTTTATATAGTCGTGTTATTAAATTATGTAGGCATGCACGCCATGCACTTAACGTATGCATGCACCCTTGGCAGCATGTGTGTGTGAGAGTATGTGGTGGGGGGCAGGGGGATACGCATTAGTCCTATGTGTGTGTTTTTGTGTGCAGACGTGTAGCAGCTGCTGGACACCACCTGTGGCTGCTCCATCCCAGGGGCCTGCTGTGGCACCAAATAGTCCCTCTGGGATCCTGGGGATCCCAAAATGGTGGAGCAAATGCTGAACCACTCCCAGAATGGACAAACCTGCACCTTTGGTGTTTATGTTAAAAGGTAAACTTTCCTTTTAATATAAGGAAAACCTATATTTCCTTATGTTATTTCTTGTCTTTCTGCATTTTATGTTGTGTTTTTGTTTTTACTTTTTTTTTCAGACATATGTCTATCCACTTCTTCATTTTCTCCCACACAAATGCCCCATGCCCTGCAGGAACAGAAGAAGCTGGCGGTGCATTACGAAAGACAGAAACTCCATAAACGGACAAGCAGCACTGTTACTCTCGAGATCTTCAGTGGGTTTAAAAAGACCCGCACATTTGTTGCCGTCATTACGAGCTTCGGAATAATAAACCCAGAGATGATGATCCTTTCGTTTGTCGCAGTTTTCTCCATGTGATTGCAGATCAGTCAGTTTATTTTTTAAATTTTTTATAGAATTTACTTTGTTTACGCTCTGTCAATGTGGATATATTTAAACATAACGCATCTTTCTCCCGGGTTTTAAATCGCTGTCTTTTGATTACTGCTGCTCTCATTAGCCCAGGTTTCATCCAGTTAACAGAGAGGCAAACTAAATAACGTTTAGTTGTGTTTACTTGTAATTGGTGATTTAGAAAAAGAACAGAGATCTGAAAATTATAATGCTGTAATGTTCAGCTGATATTTGATTTCCTGTTGTTAAAAAAAAAAACATCACTTGGGTTGGCCCATCATCTTTTTATTAAATGATTACGTCATAACTTCTAGGGAGATAAAAAAACAAAACAAAACAAGCAAGAGGCGCATGTTCAACATTCATCTCACGACAAGACTGAAACGAAGCATTCAGTGCATCACATTTCTGTTGACTTCACATGTGTTTTGCAGCACGATATTCCATTTCAGCTTATCATTTGTTGTTCCTCCGGTGCTGAAATGGCAGACAGGTTTTGGGGGTGTATGTGTTTGTAATTTGGAAGTCCATGGCGGAGGTTATTGGTGTCACATCCCACAATGCACTGCTGAATTCCTTTAACATGTGGTTAGTCAGGAAAGGGGCGGTTGACCTATGCCTTCCCACGAGCCCCTTGGGAACAGCTTTGCGAGGTTTCTCCAGAAGTCTAGGATCAGCGCGCAGGCTGCTGCGCTGGTTTGTGACTGGAATTGTAATCATGTGATTTTCCTGAACGCTTCTTCGTTTTTTTTGGGGTTTTTTTTGTCTTTTTTTGGGGGAATTTTTTTTCTCCTTCTTTCACAGCCATTCAGTATCTTATTTGTACCTCCTTTCCCCCTCCCCTCCTCTGATCTGTGTCTGTTTTTGTCTTCTCGGTGTTTAACAGGAGACTAACCCTGCACATGCAATCCATTACGCTTGGAGGAAAAAAGGAGAAAGTACAGGAAACCGAGGGTGAAACGTGTTGCTCTCCTCTCCCTCATTTCCTGTTTAAACAGATTTCTTCTCTCTACGCCTTCTAAAAGTCTGACTAACTATATTTTTACAGTCACTATATTTCTCACTACATTATGTAATAAAATCAAATTGAACAATAAAATGAATGAATGACTTTTTTTCTTTTATAATTATTATTATTTCTGTTGACTTTGCTGAGCCAAGACTTTGTTGAAAAATGACAAAACTGGTGTAAGAGTGACAGGAATGTATCCAATATTATTTCTACATGTACATTTGTTCAATTGTTTGTTAACACAAATAGAGAATAGGCCAATTCACTAAATTGCTCACTAACTAGAGCAAGTTAGTGAGGCTAACTTCTTGAACCTGATATTGAGCTCTCTGTGCTAACGGCCTCTTCAGCCACCACATCTCAATGACAAAGATGCTAGGAAAAAAAAAAAAAAAAAAAAATCTACAACAAATCTGTAACCAAGCCATTTAAATGTTAAAAAACTATTCAGAGAACAAGTTCCACTTCATCTTTAGCATATTTTAGGTACTTGGCAAAATACAGAGAAATACTACGTCAAAGCTGCTTTGCCTGGTGTTTGGGTGCTTTTTTTCATTGGCTCTCGCTTCCAGGGTCGGCGGCTTTGTCTGCTCCGACTGTTCTTGTTGTAAACAGCTACAGCTCAGTTGATGTCCAGATAGAGTGTTGAAGAACAAAATCTCGATTGTGAAAACACTTTGAGGCATGCATCAGGTGCAGATCCAGATGTCCAATCGCTGTCACTGATGCCCGAAGGCGTAAGGCGGCTGGAGAGGGGCTTTCAGGTCAGGGTCATGAGAGGCATGTGTCGCAACTGCTTTATTGCGCCACAGAAAAAATGGGTTGTGTTTTTGGCGATTAGCAGCTCCTCAGCCTTTCCCTTATGGTGCAGATCATTGTGAGGAAGCGTTGAAAGGGTTGCAAGTAGAGGGGGGCAGCGATGGAAGAAGTAGACAGCTGTGTAGGGGTGAATAGAAGGTTTCTTTGTGATGTACTGACAAAAAAAAAAAAAAAAAATCTGTGACCAATTATCTGTGTCTCTCTCTCTCTAAATGGGGAATTCTCGACCAGTTTGGGTGGCTTTGGGATTCATGAGGAGGAGTTGGGAGAGAGACCGAAGGGTTGAACACAGTCATGGTGCCTGAGGGTAAGCCGACGTTTTGTTAGTTTCAGCCAATCTCTCTCACTTATATTTGAACCGTTCCCAAAGGAATTTCAATTCCTAGTGACCAAAAATGGGATAAATCTAGGAAAATATTATTCACAAAATGAACTGCAAGCAGCTAAAGGTATAGAAATAGTGGGCTTACAGGAAAATAACAATTTGTCCTACAACTGCTGACATGCGTAGGTCTTCGCTTCAACCCCAGCCCGCGGTATAAGCTTCCTATTTGTGTGGTTAGATTTCCAGCTATGTGAAAAGTGTGTCCTACCGAGAGTCGGAGAAAAGTGGTTAAGAGCAGGGAAGTTCAGGCCCAGGGATGGCTTGTAAGCCATGTGTTACACATTAAAAGGCTAATTACAGTTTTTAAAGCACCGTGTTTACCACTGAGAAAAGCCTTGTTAGGTATATTTACTGTCTCCCCTGAAATTATTCATCCTTGACAAGCTCAATTAACATTATCATAATTACAAATGTGATTGCTGCTTAATCGCTCCAACTGCTGTTTCGCTGCCTTGAGTATCTGCGGCGGAAGTCAATAAGGCTCAAGTGGTCTTCCCTGACCATCCATCAGAAAGCAGGACGCAGGAAGCAGGGAAGCACAGCTAACGGGAGGTTTTCCTGCCGCATTTGTAGTTCGATGCAAAATCCCACATCAGTACAGAAGGAGGATGAAAGCATCATCAACTCTCCCCCTGACCAGCTGTGTTTTTGCATGAGCACAGAATAACCCCGTGAAAACGTGATCTCCTGTGGTTCCACGTGGTTGTCAATAGCCATCACCTCGTTTGGTTCTTCACCTGTAAAAGCAAAGATCTGACTGAACACTCGCAGCTTCAGGAGGGGAGAGCAAGTCAAGAGCAAAAGCACAAACCAGAACAGCAGGTTGCTTTGAGAGACAATGCATTATAAAATGCTGATCCTTCTAACAAAGCTAAGGAGTCGCAAAACTACTTTAATGCCAATTAATGCAAATTTTACCGCTTTCTTCAATTGTTTTCTCTTTATCCTTCCTCCTTATGTGCCATTTTTTAAAATGCATGTCTGGTTGTGCTTTTGGACAGATCCACTCACACGAGTTGTGGATCTCTGCAGTTCTTCCAAAGTTCCTCCCTGGATTATTAGTTTAAGTGGGTGAGCATCTCTTGGTGGGTTTTCAGCTGTGTCTTACTTTAACCACTTTTTTTCCCCTTAACATAACCCTGCTTTAAGCTTCTTGACTGTGTCACGTCTGTCATCTGCAGTGTTTTCTGGTGTTTATGATGAAGTTTGCTCCCAAATATTCTGTAAGAAACGCCTGAAACACAAACAGAACAGCTGTTTCTATACTGAGATGCCCACAGTGGACTATGCCCCATTACATTTACATGACATATGAAGACAATTGCTTGAACTAAATTGTATTTAATGGCATCAGAGTGAAGAGGGTTGAGTACAAATTACATTTTTTTGATCTTTTTTTAAATTATTATTATTTGCAAAACTTAAAAAAAATAAAATAAGAATACCTGTCCATCCTATCCTGTATGTGTCACTTTACTATCACATAAAAGTCCAATAAAATGAATGAAAGTTTGAAAACGTTCAAGAGATTTAAACAAACTTCCAAAGCACAGTGAAATAATGGGAAGATGAGAAGTTTCCCATTATTTCCCATTATTATTCCCCATCTAAATTCACTATAATAACTCTTTTAACAAGTAATATTAATGTTTCATAAAAATACTGACCAACAGCAGAAGTAAATAAGGCGGACACATCTCATGTGACTGCTTCAGGAATCGTTGACGTTATACATGGTTTAAATCCCTCCAGTGCTGATAGATGCCTGGGTTGGTTTGCATTAGCATTAACTTCACACAGCTCTGATGTGGCTGCAAGCAAGTGAACACTAAACACTGACGCTGATGTCGGTGCGATGACATTAGAAGCTGTCTCCCATGAGTGCCTCATGCTGGTGGCTATTTGGATTACAGCTGTAGCAGTCGACTCTACTAGCAACAGAACGTTTTGCGTTGCGTATACATCGGTAATTATAAAGTAAATTGTTCCAGAGCTGGGTCCTGAAAAATACATATTCGCACGGAATGTAATTAAAAGTGAAAGAGCTCCGTCTTGAAACTGCGGTGGTGCGAATTAAACAAGATGTCTGAACTGACTCTTGCCTTTAGCGAGCTGAATGAGAGAGAAATGTGACAAGTCGTAATCAATCAATCAGCGGGCGGCAGGAGGTTGGAATTGTTTTGCATTTCATCAGTTTGTTTCTTCCTGGGATTTTTCTTCTGCCTGACAGGAGGTGCCGTAAGCATACCAGCAGCTGAAAGAAGACCCACATTCCTTCAGCACAGACTCCTCCGTACCTCTTTTGTTCGAGGTTGGAGTTTGTTTGAGGAGCTTTCCTCGCATTGAGCTCTTTGTGTGTGAGACTTAGCTGGCTTCAGAAGGAGCGAGGTTCCAGTAACTGCTGGCTAAATTGGACAAGTTCGGCACGTACACATTGTAGAGCTTCAGATCTCTGTGGCATTATCGACTAAAGTCTGACTCTTGAAGAACTTGAGATTAGCGTCACAAGCCGGCTTGTTTTGTTGCAGCTCATTTACAGCATGTGGTCACATTGTGCTGTCCTAAATGTCAAGCCAGTGTTGGCATGTGGGCAATTTTATTGGCTTTTCTCAATTACCCGTGTCATGTGGTTTCTCTCAGACTGAACGTACACTGAAAACTTTCTGCGTTTGCAGGATGAAGCAGTCGCAGAAACCTTGATTAGAGATGTCTGACCTAAAGAGAAGAAGAGGCTGCCAGTAAAACGCAGACAAATCCTCTATTTACCTTGACTAACATCTGCTCTTCTGCACCCCAACTCCTGGAAAAATGGGAGCCACACATTCCAGGCAGCGTACCCTACTTGGCAATGGTCTGCGTAATTGAAGATAAATTTTGGTGTGAGACACAGGGAGTGGATATTGTCAAGTGTCTGGGTTAAGAAAATAACAGGGTCTTTTTACCTCATCATGGCTTGGGGTCAGGGAAGTGGGGGTTTGGTGGGAGGTGTTGCATTCATCCACAGGTCATTGTTACAGTAAAGGAGGCGGCGGGGGATGCGGGGGAGCAGGGTGTTGTGGACACAATGAAACAGTAGGGTGAGCAGACTCTATCCCTCTCGGTGGGTTGTTCTCTGCGAGAATTTCACGTTTAGTCTCTTTGAATAGTGCTGGTGGTGAATGTGGGGAGAATCTGAAGCTACCTGTGCATCAAACAGCTTCTGCCACCCTCAGAGGGAGGGGAGGGTGTGTCCCCGATGCAAAATCTGCCAAAGATAAAAAAAAAACACATCTGGTACCTTTACTGCCAATATGTTGCTCTTTCAATTCAGTTGAAAAGGTGAAATTTCTCTTATTTTTAAAGATTAATTTTCTAAATTAAACCTCTGTTTTCTTTCGATTTTACAGCGAGCTCTTTGGAAAACGGTGCAATTTCCAATAAATCAATGCATCATTTGCTCTCAGTTGTGGGGATCACTTGAGCATTGTAACAAAATATGGCAAAATAAACAACAAACACTTTAATGCGAGGAGAGAAGAAAAATTAAACCTGACTTTCACAGGAAAATCCATCCTAAATTGCCTTAAATTTGAATTAGGAAAGAGGCCCATATACCATTCTTATTTTGCAGCCACAACATGAAGTTCTGTCACAAATAATGCCTAAAGAATGTGTCTCTTATAATGCACACTCCGTTTTCTATGTTGTTTGTGTATTGAGATGAAGGGTTTAAAAAAAAAAAAAAGGACAGTTCTACGACATAGCAGAACAAGTTAATTTTGTTACTATTTCACCATGCTTAATGGTCACCTCAGCATATCAGGATGAAAGTTTATTGCTCTTTACAAAGTCTATTCTTGGTCTCTCAGTAATTAGTGAATTAATAATTCAGAAAATAGGTTGGAATGCCCTGCAGTTGGAGTCACTCCAAGCACTTTGCATGATGACGTCGGTGAACCTTGATGAGTGGAGAGTGAGCATCTCTAAAGTGGTGCATGAATTTGAATGATGTTATTATACAGTAATGGGCTAAACATTTGAGTAGCAGCTGTGAAAAGTCTAATTCTACTGCTGGCTGTTTGCGTAAATCTTACATCATTACATCAATCGCTCTACTAGATAACCTGACTTGCTCTTTTAAGTCCACCCCACTTGGCCAGTCAGGGGCATAATGGAGACTGGTCAACTTTTGCCCTTTGTGGCATAGATCCTGCCTTGAAGTGTTTTGTGAAAGGGACTACTTTTTTTTTTCTTGGTGTCATTTAGATTGAACAGATGTTAAACTTTACATGACTAAATTCCCAATGACCTCCAAGATGGATGCCAGCTGTGACAGACCACTGAATAATATGCTCAGAAAAGCAGGCAGCAGTGGTTGAGCCACATCCAGAGAATGACTGGTGAACTTCATGCTGCACCAGGTCTAGCTAGCTGCATGCTAAAGAGTCCAAGGATGTACCAACAATAAAATGGACAAAACGTAAGTGCCAAAGTAGAGTGAAATGTGGAAAAGTCTTCGTGGAGCGCCTGCAGCAGTACTGCAGGCAACGTATTGATCCTAGAAAAGCCTTTCCCATGCCTCCACCACAGATACACCAAAGAAATGATCGGGTTCATCGGGTTCATAGAAAGCCAATGATACTGAGCAAGAAGCACATATCTTAGTAAGTCACAGAAACACAACACAGATCCGCAGTAGTGTGATGGGAATTTTAAAAATGTTGCTCATAATGTTACATCCGGCCGCGACTCTCAAAATGCGTAGCTTTATTTTGATCTGACTGAATACCACAACTTTAATGAAAACCCCTTCCCATCAAACACTTCAAGCAAGAGCAGTAAAACTGTTCTTTAAAGTTTAACTTGGACACTGGCAATGCACAAGAGCAATCATCACTCTCTTATCTACGTCTCTGAGATTTTTTATGCTCAGAGCTTGTGAAAGAACAAAGTGCTTTGCTGCTCCTCTGTGGACAAACTGTCTACTGACACCAGGTCCAGTGGTGAAGGCGGTGATGATGGCAATGATAGTAACAGTGGAGGGATTTGGAAAATGATTCCCCCGAAGACTTACCGAGGAGCAACGATGGGCTTACTCCCACCGCTTGGGGCCCAGACTGAAGCCCCTGTCTGGAATGCAATCTGCCTGCCATCTGCAGGCCTCGATTCCTCTGTTTGATATTCAAACAAACACCTGTCAAAAGTCCGTGTCTCATCTCGCAGGGCTCTTGGAAATTGGCAAAAATCTCAACTTCTTTCCTACACCAGGAACAGGAGGGGTGGGGGAGGAGAGGGGTATTTAAAAAAAAAAACATACTCCAACCATCTGTGCATGTGATAAATATAGATTTTTATGAAGGCCTTGAAGGACTGATTTAACTTTCCACTGAAATGCCAAAGAACAATAGGCCCTTAAAGGTGCTGCATTCAATGAGGTGTTTGCACAATAAAAGATTTTGAGTTTAATCGTATATTTTCTGTCATTTAATCATCATCTTGCTGTACTGCTTGACCAGGCGGTGTGCCTTCACCCCTCTGAGAATGCTGATGTTCTACCGTGGATCATTGGCCTTTGTCCTCCTTTTAGACCTGCTCCCTGCTGTTTGCTACCTCTCTCTCTCTTTTTCCTCTCACTCATATTGAGATGAAGGCGCTGCTATAGGGTGACGGAGCTGCTTTGACAGTACTCCTTGGCAGGGGTCCAGGCCACACATCTGCTTGACTGCTGTTCCTCTTTTTCATCCCCCCAGCCCAGGAATCCCAGCAGCCCCGGCGGTATTGGTTCAGTTGCGAGTCCATTTCAGGGTCTGTCTCAAGGTCTGCAGATGTGTTTCCCAGAGCAGCAATGATGGACTCTTGCAGAGATCTCCAGTGTGAATGACTAATGGCGCGGAGACATCTCTGAAGTCGTTGCAGAATGGATTTATCCAGTATCATTCATCATGCTGTCTGTCAGTGCCAATATAAATGCCTGATGGAAAGCATGCATTCACCTTTGAGTGGAACTGACTCAGTTGCTCCAGAAAGTCTGTTGTGAGTCACAAGATAAAGTGTGTCTACAGAATTGGAGTGAGAGAATCGTTCTGGCTCTCAAAATTATCTTTCAAGCTCACACTAAATATGAAGTCTGCCTACTTTACATACAAGCACAATTTAACCAAAGTACAGCCCGCTAGCTTGTTCACAGAGTGAGTATGCCCAGCTCAATCTGTTTGAGGTTGATTCTGGGCTTTTATCCATCATGATCAATGTGAGCTGTTCTTTTTCTGCAGATGGGATGGTGGGTTGGCCATAATATAATGTACAACTTCAAAGAATCCTAAAAACAACAATTAGGTGCATCAGTTTGACTTTAATTTTGAGAAAAATCTAAAAGATATATACATACATACATACACACGGGCTCAAATATTTACATATGTCTCCTTTAACAAATTGCGTAGGAACCTTTCCAAAACCATCAACAAGTTTCTGGGTTGATCTTTGACCCCTCTTCTTAGGGGAACTGATATTATTTCAGATTGTTTGGTTTGCTGGTACACACCTGACTGTCTATGTCAATGAAGACATTTATGGACCACACCATGGACAGATTTGTTGTGCTTTTGTCTGGTGACGATGCCAAAAACAAAACCGGAACCACCAATTTTCATATCTGTCATAAACTGGAAGATGCTGAAAAGACCAGAGTCGTAGTCTACAGTGAAGTGAATTAACAGCTCAACATGAACAATGAGGAATGCTAGCTAAGAAAGGAAGGAAGGCAAACTTAGGATACTGCTATAACTCAAGCATGGTGGCAGCAGAGAGTCTGCTTAGCCACAGCAGATATGAGAGCCTTCAAACTGA